TCAAGGATATAACCAAATAAGGTTGGCACCGAAAGACCAGGAGAAAGCAAGTTTTGTAACTGACCAAAGAATCTTTTGCTATGAGGTAATGCCCTTTGGACTAAAGAACGCTGGAGCCACTTACCAACGTCTTGTCAACTCAATGTTTGATGGCATGCTGGGACGCAACATGGAAGCCTATATAGACGACATGTTAATTAAGAGCGTTATTTCTTCAAAGCATACTAAGGATCTAGAGGAGTGTTTTACTATTTTGAGAAAGTATCGAATGAAGCTCAACCCTGAGAAGTGTACATTCGGTGTCAAAGGAGGAAAGTTTTTGGGTTATTTAATTTCGCAACGAGGAATAGAGGCCAATCCGGAAAAAATAGAAGCTATCATGAAAATGTCGCCTCCTCGGACTTTAAAACAAGTGCAGGAACTGACGGGACGGATGGCTGCTCTTAATCGATTTCTATCTCGATCAACCGAAAAAGGTACCGTTTTTCAAAATTCTCCGTCAAGGGAAGCGCTTCCATTGGTCCGATGAATGTCAGCAAGCATTTGAAGATTTGAAGAAATATTTGAGTTCGCCACCCTTATTGATTAAGCCAGAGACGGGAGATATATTGTCCATTTATCTAGCTGTAGCGCCAGAAGCAGTAAGTGTTGTTCTTGTAAAGCAAGTAAATCGTGAACACCATCCAGTATACTACATCAGCCGAGCGCTGAAAGGAGCTGAGCAACGCTATAGCAATATGGAGAAACTGGTTTTTGCTTTAGTAACGGCTGCTCGAAAGTTACGCCCGTACTTCCAATCTCATCATGTAGTAGTTTTATCCAACCACCCTTTGAAGCATATATTGTCAAGTCCCGAAGCGTCGGGAAGAATGGTCAAGTGGGCTGTCGAGTTAAGCCAATATGGATTGGAGTATAACTCTCGTCCAGCAATAAAAGCTCAAGTTTTAGCAGATTTCCTTGTTGAGATGGCAGGATTTGAAGAAAGCAATTCGACTCCTACCTGGCTAGCTTATGTGGATGGCTCTTCTACCATCGGTGGAAGTGGAATTGGCATAGTCTTGGAGAGTCCGCAGGGAGATAAAATTGAATATGCAATCAAGCTCGATTTCCACGCTTCAAATAACGAGGCGGAATACGAAGCTTTTATAGCAGGGATTCGTTTATCCCTAGCTGCTGGAGCCCGAAAGCTAGTTATACATAGTGAGTCGCAACTTGTAGTGAATCAAGTCTCGGGAGTTTATGATGCAAAAGAAGAAAAGATGGCGCAATACCTTGCTATAGTCAAAAAGTTACTAACGCGGCTTGAAGATTTTGAAGTCAAGCAAATTCCGCGGACCGCCAATGAAGGAGCAGACAGTTTATCTACGCTGGCCAGTTCAATGTCTAATATTAGTAGCCGGCGAATTACTTTTTTAGTTTTTGCCAGGTCGGAAATTGACACTTTAGATGTGGTGATGTGCAATGAGGCTATCGAACCGACATGGAAAGATGAGTTGGTGCGATACCTAACACTAGGAGAACTCCCATCCGACCAGTCTTAAGCACGTAAAATATGCACTCGAGCCGCTCATTTCACCATGGTGGATGATGAGTTATATAAAAGAGGCTTCACTCAACCATTTCTGAAGTGTTTGACACCACAAGCTGCGGACTACGTACTTCGAGAAATTCATGAAGGTATTTGCGGTAATCACCTCGGAGGGAAAACGTTGGTAGGAAAGGCACTTCGTCAAGGGTACTTTTGGCCTACCATGCTCCAAGACGCAAATGAGTTGGTTAAAAAGTGCACTGCATGTCAGTTACACGCCAACATAGCCCATCAACCGGCGGCATTGCTTCAACCAATGGAGTGTCCCATACCTTTTGCACAATGGGGTATTGATTTGGTAGGCCCATTTCCAGTGGCTACAGGACAAAGGAAGTTTCTTATCGTTGCAGTTGACTATTTTCAAAGTGGGTAGAGGCTGAACCGCTCGCAAAAATTTCTGAAAAAGAAGTTATCAGCTTTTTATGGAAAAATATTGTTTGCAGATTCGGTGTACCACGCGCATTAATATCAGATAACGGAACGCAATTCGCCGGTTCCAAGTTGAAAGATTGGTGTGAAGGCTTGCACATCAAGCATTTTTTCACCTCAGTATACAATCCACAGGCTAGTGGACAAACTGAGGTGACCAATCGGACTATACTGCAACATTTGAAGACTCGACTTGGAAATGCAAAAGGGAGGTGGGTAGAAGAACTTCACAACGTGCTTTGGGCATACCGTACCACTCCCAGATCTGCAACTGGTGAATAACCTTTTTCTTTAGCGTATGGAACCGAGGCATTCGTCCCAGTCGAGATTGGAGAACCTTCTTGGAGAGCAGGATACTATGAAGTGCAGAATAACGAGGTGGCTATGCGAATCAATTTAGACCTTCTTGGAGAATTAAGAGAGGGTGCAACAGCTCGAATTCAGAATTATAAGATTCGCATGGCTCGCGCTTACAACGCCAAGGTACGATCACGTACTTTTCAAGTTGGTGACTTAGTAATGCGCAGAGCTGACCTCTCACGGCCTATTGGCAAGTTAGATGCAAAATGGGAAGGGCCCTACAAAATAGTGGAAATAGCCAATCCTAGTGCATACCGTCTACAACAGCTTGACGGACGGACGATTCCTCGCACTTGGAACATTATCAATTTAAAGCGTTTGTATCAATAGATTTGGGAGTTTTTACTATGTACAGTTTTTATGTGGAAGACGTTCTTTTTCTTTTTTATGCATTTTTCCTTTTGCTTGATGTAAGAAGGGGTACTCTTTTCCTTGTTTTGGCCAACAAGGTTTTTAATGAGGCCCCTATGTTCGCTCCATGTCTTAATGCAACAGACATCTTTTTTCGGCCAAAGATTTTGTGTGAGCTGTTTTCTTTTGAGTCGTCTCGACATTTAAGATGACATATCTACATCACCTTACAACACTTCAAAATCATGATTTGTTCGCCACCTCAAAGGTTATCCTAGGTGGTTCAAGAACGTTAACAAATATTCAAAAACACAACCCACTACAAGGAGTGACACTTCACTCGATAATGGGTTCAAGAGTTTTCTTTGATTAGGGAGACTGATCACCTCTCTAATAAACATAAAAGTACAAAACAAGCAATCTTCGAGAGTTAAAGAATTCCGAGGTGTGATACAACTTGGAGTCATCAACAAAGGAAATGGCAATTCAAAGAAATTAAGATGTTCAACTGGAACAAAATTTAAAATGCAAGTACTCTACGAAATACGAATGATAAAAAGCAATCTAAAATAAAGGAAAAATAAAAGCTACACTACAGTCTTCTTTTTTCCTACCTCCGCGGGTGAGAGTCGGATGGATCGGATCGAAATTAGCATTTTCGGAACATTTCCAAAAGAATTCGAAAGTACAAAATCAATTCCAATTCCAATTCCAAAAGGTCCGGAGATTTCGGAAAAAAATCGGAAATCACATAAGCTTTAAAATTTCAAAACATAGCCGAAATTTTCTAAAATGTTCATAATTTTTCAAAAATAAGAACATCGGCGTCGATAAAAGTAAAACAAATAACTACTAAATTTCAGTTCAAAAAAATAAATAAAATAAACACATCATGATATCCAATAAAACTTCTAACAACAATTCATTATGTCAAAATCCTAAAACAAAACGTATATGTGTATATTTCGGAAAATGAGTATTATATAATATATATTATTTATAGGTGTATTTTTCGGAAAAAGAATCGGAATTTTTCGAAATTAAATCGGATCCGAAATCGGAAGTTCCAAGTTTATTTTAATTCCAATTCCAATAAAAAAACGGAAAAATTCGGGAATCAGAATTTCGGAAGTCGGAATGAATAAAGTTATTCCCAAATCGGAACTTTTCGGATCGGAACCGGAACCGGCGGTAATTGGAAATTCCGTTCCAACTTGCACTCCTAGGTAAAACTGTACAGAAATTGTGGGATACGCCAAATTTCATACCGTTTAACATTTCGTTTGATAAATAACTGTACTACCAAAATTTTATTAAAAATATTTAAAAATTTGATTCTTTTGATTAATTTTAGTTTAAATACTAATATATATATATATATATATATATATATATAATTGAATACCACACCGAATTAACGGTTCGGTAATCGGCATGTACGGATTTTTGTTTGGTTCGATTCGATCGCTTTAGCGGCCGAATGAACACTCCTAGGTAAATTTGATATTGTAAGGATGGATGTTTAAGACGATATATAGTTGATGGGTATTTGTAATTATGCAAACAATATGAATTTTATCATAATTATACCTTACCTCATAGGGTGACCGTAATATATCCAAATTTTATATCAAAATCATCAACTTAAACAAAGGGTATACTAGTAATATTCGTTATAAGTTTCAAGAATTTTTGAAAATGAGATAAAAAAAAAAATACACTACACATGGAGAATCTATGTATATGGACTTTCACGTGGTAGACAGAATATATATGAAGGGATGTGTGAAACTTGGAAGCAAGGAATTGGAGTTTGAAGCATCACACAAACAACGTGATCTCAGATAGCAGCACTACCAGATTTCCCTTTATAAATATTATTAAGATCAAAAGTTAAAATAAAATAAATTAATAAATAAAAGAAAAAAAGAAGAGAGAGAGAGAGAGAATTGAAGGATTAGCGCGCATGCATGTATTGTGATGTTATGAAGCTCCACCTGTCCTAGTATGCGTACCTTCTATTCTCCCTATTGAAAGAAAGAGATATATATGATGTACATCTTTGTACGTATCTTAGGAGATAGAGTTTTGATTCCCACAATCTTCTATGCATGGTAGGAGTAATATTAGGGTTGCTTGCAAAGTCTATATATATATATATATATATATATATATATATATATATATATATATATATATATATATATATATATATATATATATACTGATACGACAGAGAGAGAGAGGCAGACATAAATAAAATCTTTTCCTAATTTCTTTATGGTACCAGAGCAGGGATTTACAAAACCATAAAAAAAAAAAAAAAAGAAGAAGAAGAAACTATGACATGTGAGGAAAAGAAAACCGATGATGGGTCTGCAAAAGTACATGCGAGTGTTGTATCGCAACCGAGTGCTATCTCGCCGTATTTTTTGCATCCGTCCGATAATCCGGGATCACTAATCTCGCACATCCAATTGAAAGGGGAAAACTACGAGGAATGGGCTAGATCGATGAGGAATGCTCTTCGAGCGAAAAAGAAACTCGGGTTTGTCGATGGAACTTTGGTGAAACCAGAAGATGATTCTAACGAGATTGAAGACTGGTGGATGGTGAACTCAATGTTGGTTGCTTGGATATTTAATACAATCGAACCCTCGTTGCGTTCCACCATAACCTACGTTGAAACAGTGAAGGAACTATGGGAGGATCTTCGACAAAGATTCTCCATTGGAAACGGACCTCGTGTACATCAATTGAAAGCTGACCTAGCTGTGTGTAAACAACGCGGACAAACGGTGGTGGCATATTATGGTCGACTGAAGATGATGTGGGATGAACTTGTGAATTATGACCCAATACCCACGTGTAGATGCAACGGTTGCAAGTATGACATCTCAGTCACACTTGAACGAAAGAGAGAAGAAGAGAGAGTCCATCAATTTTTGATGGGTCTTGACGATATGGTGTACGGAACCGTACGGTCCAATATTTTGAGCATGGAACCACTGCCCAATATGAATAGAGCATATGCGATGATTGTTCAAGAGGAACGGCATCGTAATATCGCACGAAGCAAAGAAGATCGAGGGGACGCAGTAGGATTTGCTGCTCAACTAGGTCCGAACGTGAGAGTTGCGGCTATTCGGGGAAAGGAAAAGTTGATAACGTGTGGGCAGTGTGGAAAATCGGGACACGAAAGCAATGCATGCTATCAAGTCATAGGATACCCAGAGTGGTGGGGAGATAGGCCTCGAGAGAGAGAGAGAAGTGATCGGGGCCGAAGAGGAGGCGCTGTGGGGCGCGGAAGAGGGGGCAGAGCACGCATTAATATCACTCGAGCGACGACCGAGGGAAATGGGAGCCAATCTGAAGTTCGTGTGGAACGTGACCGTCACGATCTTGCGGGTCTTGATAGCGAGCAATGGACAAAGTTACTTGAATTGATCGGTGCAAGTAAAAATGGTGATGAAAGGCTTTCTGGTAAGAAATATTTTAATTGGATCGTAGATTCTGGCGCGTCTCATCACATGACGGGGAAAGTCGATTTGTTGTCCGATGTTTATAACATATCAGCATTACCTGTAGAACTTCCCAATGGACAAAATACTTTTGCTGTAAAGGAAGGGAAATTGTCCTTCGGGAGTCATCGGATTTTGCATCATGTTTTATATGTTCCAAATATGAATTGCATGCTTATATCTGTTGCAAAATTGATGAAAGAATGGAATTGTATTGTCATCTTTATTGACAATTTGTGCGTGATACAGGACCGCACTACGAGGACTCTGATTGGAACGGGTGAAGAGCGCGATGGGGTATTCGTCTTCCAAGGTGTTGCACCAGTGCGAGTGAATAAAATTGCTGGATTAAGTGAGCAAGAGCTGCGGCATCGGAGATTGGGTCACCCATCTAAACAAATTTTGTCCTTTATTCCAGTAGTTAGGAGTATAATTAATAGTACATTGAGTCACAGTTCGTGTGATATTTGTTTACGTGCAAAGCAGACTCGTGCTATTTTTCCACAAAGTGATAATAAAACAACTGAATGTTTTTCGTTGATTCATGTCGATCTGTGGGGTGCTTATAGAACTCCAGCTACATGCGGTGCTTTTTATTTTCTTACAATTGTAGATGATTTCTCAAGAGGGGTTTGGGTCTATCTTTTGGGTGATAAAAAGGAGGTAGGCCAAACTTTGAAAAATTTCTGCACGATGGTCGAAAGACAATTTAAGAAACAAGTACGAGTTGTTCGCAGCGATAATGGAACGGAATTCACGTGCTTGAGATCTTATTTTGAAACACATGGCATCTTGCACCAAACATCATGTGTTGGGACTCTTCAACAAAATGGAAGAGTAGAGAGAAAACACATGCACATTCTGAACGTTGCACGGGCGTTAATGTTTCAAGCACACCTTCCTATACAATTTTGGGGCGAATGTGTTCTTACTGCTAGCCATTTGATTAATCGAACTCCTTCAATGCTTCTTGATGGTAAGACCCCATACGAGATATTATTCGTTGTAAACCGAATTATGCATCATTGAGAACATTTGGTTGCTTGTGTTATGCACATCATGATCGCCGTGATAAAGATAAGTTTGGCGAACGAAGCACAAAGTGTGTGTTCATGGGTTATCCGCATGGTAAAAAGGGTTGGCGCGTGTTTAAAATCGAATCCGGAGAATGGTTTGTTTCTCGCGATGTGGTGTTTTCCGTAAATATTTTCCCTTTTGCCGAAAGGGTGCTTCGTGCTAGCACTGATTTGAGATCCGATGATATTGTTGTTGTTGATGATGACCTGGATGGACCAATCCAAGAAAGCAACGTGAATAAGGTAACTAGTGAAAGTGAACCCTTGAACGAAGTTAGGGGGAGCACAAGCAATCTTGATGAGGGGGAGACGGGTGTTACTGGTAGTGAAAATACTACAGATATTGCCCAAATCGAAACATTAGGGATAGGTCATCGTGTTTCCAGGCCATCTACCTTATTGAAAGACTATGTCACTTATAGTGCTCGGTGCTCGCAAAACCCCCATCGCGCTACACCCGTGTCTCCTAACAGATCCTCAGGTACACTTTATCCCATAGCTCATTATTTGACCTCTGATAGATTTTCGGCTCGACATCGAGCATTCTTGGCCAAGATTGATGCAGGGATTGAACCAACTCGATTCTCAGAGGCAGTTAAGGATGAAAGATGGCGAGCAGCCATGCAACAAGAAATCAAAGCTTTGGAAGACAACGGGACTTGGACATTGGAAGTTTTGCCTCCGAGTAAGAAAGCAATTGGATCTAAGTGGGTCTACAAGATTAAGTATAAATCCGACGGCACGATTGAACGATACAAAGCTCGTTTGGTCATCTTGGGTAATAGCCAACGCGAAGGAATCGACTATAATGAAACCTTTGCACCCGTAGCAAAAATGGTGACATTACGGACATTCTTAGCTGTAGCTGCTGCTAAAAAGTGGGAACTACATCAAATGGATGTTAATAATGCGTTCTTGCATGGCGATTTAAGTGAAGAAGTCTATATGAAGCTACCTCCGGGATTCTCATGTACTGATCAAACGAAAGTTTGTAAACTGAAAAAATCTCTCTATGGGTTGCGACAGGATCCTCGTTGTTGGTTCACCAAGTTGGCATCTGCCTTGAAACGATACGGCTTTGTTCAGTCATACTCTGATTATTTCTTTTTTCGTTACACTAAAGACTCAATTATTTTAACTGTTCTTATTTACGTTGACGATTTGGTAGTGGCCGGAAATAACTCGGTGGCAATTGCATCTCTCAAAGAGTACCTTGGTCGTTGCTTCCATATGAAGGATCTTGGCGCATTCAAGTATTTTCTTGGCATAGAAGTTAGGCGCGGGACAAATGGTATTTTCTTGTGTCAGCGTAAGTACGCATTAGATATTGTGAGTGAAACAGGACTTTTGGGGGCCAAACCATCTTGTACTCTTATTGAATCAAATCATCGACTTGCTCTGTCCGATCGACCTTTTTTTGACGATCCCGAGCGATACCGACGTCTTGTTGGAAGGCTAATTTACTTGACTATAACAAGACCCGAGTTAAGCTATTGTGTGCACGTGTTAGCCCAATTTATGCAGCAGCCGCGAGAGGACCATTGGGAAGCTGCTATTCGTGTGGTACGTTACTTGAAGGGACATCCAGGACAAGGGATTTTATTGCGAGCTGATAGTGACTTGCGTCTTTACGCTTATTGCGACTCTGATTGGGCTGGTTGTCCGCTCACTCGACGCTCATTGACGGGTTACTTTGTCATGTTGGGCCATTCACCTATTGCTTGGAAAACTAAGAAGCAACATACGGTGGCTCGTTCGTCGGCTGAGGCCGAGTACCGCTCCATGGCAACTACGTGTTGTGAGTTGAAATGGCTCAAAGAAATTTTGAAGTTTCTTGGGGTGTCACATGGACAATCCATGCAGCTGTATTGTGATAGCCATGCGGCTTTGCATATCGCTGCTAATCCCGTTTTTCACGAACGAACGAAGCATATCGAGATCGATTGTCATACCATTCGAAATGAGATACAACAAGGCAATATATGTACTTCACATGTTCGTACTTCCGAGCAGTTGGCAGACATTTTGACGAAAGGGCTTAGCAAGCAGCAATTTGAAAGTTTTCTTTGGAAGTCGGGCATTCACGATTTTCATGCACCCACTTGAGGGGGAGTATTGAAAGAAAGAGATATATATGATGTATATCTTTGTACGTATCTTAGGAGATAGAGTTTTGATTCCCACAATCTTCTATGCATGGTAGGAGTAATATTAGGGTTGCTTGCAAAGTCTATATATATATATATATATATATATATATATATATATATATATATATACTGATACGACAGAGAGAGAGGGGCAGACATAAATAAAATCTTTTCCTAATTTCTTCACTCCCATTAATGCATCTACATGCAGGGCCGACCCAAGCCCAAGGCGAGCAAGGCTGTCGCCTTGGGCCTTCGAAAAATCGAAAACATTTAGTGCCTCTAATTTTCTGACAGTTTTCTATATTATTAAGATACAAAATGTTACCAAGAATTGTTTTTAACATTGTTGGCTAAGTGGCATTCATTGATTTTAGTATGTCGCGTGTTCGACTACATGACTTGACGTCTAAAAGCTTACCAATCCCTCTCTCTTTGTTTTGTTTAATATTTTTATTTTCAATTTCACTCTTTTTTTTTGCTTTTTAATTTTTTTTAAATTTCCCTCTTTTTTTCTTTTTAATTTTATTTTTTAATTCCCTTTTTTTTTTTTTTTTTTTAATTTCCCAAATTCCTCCCCCCCCCCCCACCCCCTTTTTTTTGTCTTCTAATTCTATTTTTAATTTCCGAACTTTTTTCTTTTCTTATTTCTGAGAATTAATTAAGTTATATGTAGTCATATATAGGGGTGTGAACGAACCGCGCGAGCTCGAGGCTGAGCTCGCCTCTTTTGGCAGGCTCGAGTTCAAGCTTGTCGAGTTCTTTCTCTTTTGGCTCGAGCTCAAGCCCAAGGTCATTTTGTTGTTTTTTTTTTGAATATTTTTAATTATAATTTTATTATCATTAAAAATTATTTAAAAAAAATTACAAAATAAACAATAAATTGTAATTATAAATATTTTTTCTATATTTTATTTTATTTATTTTACATTATTATACATTATTTAATTAAAAAATAATAAATTAATAAATAAATAAGGCTCGCGAGCCCGCTCGGAGCTTACGAACAACTAAAAAATGACTCGAGCTCGGCTCGTCAGAAAGCTCAAGCTCGATCTCGAAAAACTCAAGTTGGCGTTCGAACTTTTTTCGAGCCGGCTCGGCTAGTTTACCACCCCTAGTCAAATATTGTCTTTTTACACGAAAGTTATGGTGGACCATTATGTAGACCGACAAATCACAATTTGAAGCTTGATATTATAAATCAATTAGTATCCAACAAAAAATTGGAAAAACACAATCATCACCATCACTATACATCCGAAAGAACACATAGTTTATATATAACTATATATTATACATGTTACTATAGGTGACTATATATAACTACATGTGACTATATTAGTATAGTCATATATAGTGTAGTTTTTATTTATAGCTTCAAATCCCACTTTTCAACGCAACAACAATTCTGATCTATAAGTTGAAAAATAAGAGGTTGATGTTAAAATGATTCTACACGGTTTGTTTTGAATGTTGAAATTTTTGTAATTAAAAAATTAGTAGATAAAATAATAATTCTAAAAAATATAATTATAAAAATATTATTAAGGTTACTTAGGTTGCCTTAGTATTTCTTTCTACATAAGATGAGCCAATGAGACTTATTTTACAACATGATGGATATTTGTGAATGAAAAATTTGCTGTGGGTCCTATGCATGAGGTCAGAGGGAAAAGTAAATCATTAAATTAAAATGTAAAAACCGAAATGTAAAATAAATTGCAACTCTTAAGAACAAAAAATAATAGCGGAATCGATCTCGTTGACGTTGATAAACTATATTTGTTTTTAAAACTAGGAAACAAATTGGAATTGAAATTTGAGAAGGTGAAGTTTGCGGTCAAAAATCAAAATTATAGTGAAGAATGAAAAGTATATTAACACGCATTATGAAGGAAATAAGTCTAAGTAATATTTAATTAATATTTTTTTAGTTTTTATATGATAAAAATAGTAATTAAATTCATATTTATTTAAATATTTTATTTTTTACAAATCTATATTTAGTTATCACAATGAAATTGAACCGACAATCAAGTTAAACAAAAATATGAAAAAAAATTGGCGGCGTATATATTCAAGCCCATTTTTTTTATTAGTTCAAGACCTCCAACATAAAAATACTAATTTACCCTTAATGAAATTGTGTTTCCGATTTGGTTAACAAAAATCAGCATTATGATACCGATTT